CCCCCCCCTGCAATGCTTTAATCAGGCACCAAAATAAGGAATCTATGAAAAAATATTTGGTGCAAATTAGGTTAACAGCGACATGTCCACCACAAGATGACTAGGGCATCAAACACAACATTTCTTAAGCTAACATGCTCCAGCTGCCATCCATAGAAATAGCTAAAGAACCCCTAACATGTTTCTACTTAGTCAAGAGGTATATATACAATCCTCATGAGATGCAGGATTGACAAGCCAGACTACCACAAACTAGTTCCTTCATGTTCAATACTAAATCTTCTGCAGCACAGGGCCTTCAAGCTCTGGGAATGCCAGCTCCCATGCATTGGGCCAATATGGCTGTTAGGATACTCTCCTACCCCTAGATTTTGTACCACCAACTCCTCCTCCTCCTCCTCGCTAATGTGCTTGCAGACTTCTCCTCTAAATCAAATGGCTCAGAAGGCAAAATTTTGCTGCAAGGGTTTATGGCCATACGACCTGGTAAGGAAAATGGTGCATCCAGCTGGTTCTTTCAGCTGTCGGAGCCAAGTTGTGTTTCAATGTCCACTCTGCAGATTGGGCACTTCTTGCTGGTGGCTAGCCACTGATCCACACACACTTGGTGAAATAGATGCATACAGGGTAAACGCCTGCAAGAGAAGAATCACACTCCTGTTAGGGGCCATGCACGGATGCACTTCAAGGAGGCTGGAAGGGAAAAAAAAAGACAACGAGAAAAACCTCGAGGGAGACGTAGACACTGACCCAGTAACCTAGAGGCAGGGACGAGAGCGTCATGCATTCTGCACACAGTGTATTTCACAGATTCGTGGATTCGAAGGTGAGAAGGGACCGTGATGATTGTCGGATCTGACCTCAGGCATAGCACAGACCATAGCATCTCAGCCAGTGGCTCTTGTATCATATCCACAGCTTCTATTTGAGCAATTACATCTCTGCCGAAAGGCAGCCAGGCTGGATTTAAAGACGTCAAGGGACAGAATAATCCACTGCCTCTCAGGGCATGGTGTTCCCATAGCTAATTACCCTCGCTGACGACATGCTGGCCTCTCTATTTCTTGCAGTTCAGTATAGTTAAATTTGTCCATCCCGATCTGCCTGAATGCAGCTGGCATCTTACACTGTCTTTGTGAGGACAGTCAGCTCTGTGCACTTCAGTGTACTTCACAACCACCCATTCAACAGAAATAAAGAGAAAATGGAGTAAAAAAAAAAAGGAGTGAAGGGCCAAGGCTCCTCGCCTGAGCTAATCTATGGTGGATCACTGGGATTTCTCCCTCCGTGAGTTTGCTGAGCGTCCAAAGTCATCCCAAATACGAGGCAAGAGAAAGGGAGGAGGCAGAGCTGAGCGCCCATGGTGCCACATAGCCTGATCTGGATTCAGCCAAGGAAGCAAGCTACCCCCTTGTCAAGGGCAAATCAGTGTAAACTGGCTGGGAATAAAGGAAGGCTGAAAAGCAGGGGAAAAAAGGAAACTCAGGAATAGCCTCCCAAATGGGGAAACCACCAAAGCAGTTTAAGGAGAGGGCTCACTCAGTTTAAGAAAAGGATGTTATGATACAGGTGCTTGAAGCAGCAGGGCGTTGGACTCCATGACCCAGGAAGCCTCTTCCAGTTGTATGGTCCTAGTCAAAGCATCTCCTCGCAGATGAGACACAACCCTGTCCTGAGCTGCACTTGGACTGGCCTCCCCAGCAAGGCCTGCAGCTAAATCATATGATTATACAGAAGTGGGGCTGGAAGGGACCTCCAGAGGTCATCTAGTCCAGCCCTCTACTCAAGGCAGGACCATCCCTATCCAAACCAGCCTATACAAATCCATAATCTAAACTCAGTGTAACACTGCCATTAAAATGACACCAACCCTTAGCTTGGCATCACTGTCCCAAAGCCACAAAGGGCTAGTTTGTCAGAGCCCGGACTCCTGGCTCCCAAGAGCTGAGTAAACCCACCGAAGCTCGTGCTCTACACACGTGTGTATAAAACTGTTAGGAGAAGGGCTATGGGCTCTACCTCCTCAGTCATTACACCATGTCTAAACCTTGGCTTCAATCCCACTTAAGTGAACACTGATAACATTGCTTTTGCTGTGATACAAGACAGGACCTCAGTGATAAAGGTTAGCCGGAGTCCTCTTGTTACAGCTTGGGTCGTGCTACTCAACCGCCTGTCTGCAGCGGCAGCTAGAACTTAATGGATAAGAGGCCACTAGCAAACACACCCAAATGGCCAAAAAAGGGTCATAAGCCAACCTTGAATTTCAGGTGCCTAGAAGCTGGACTAAGAAAAACCTGAAGCAAAACCCTAGATCCAACCCCCCTGAACTTGAATCTCAGGTCTTCCCATGGCCACTCTCATCAGAATGGGTTGACTTCAATCCCAATACACAAACCACCCCTGAATCAGAGACCTGCCTCCAGCTCAGAAACCTATTTTGTTCTTAATTTTGGCATCCAGCAATTTAACCGAATGCTGCACAAATGTTCCTCTGTGCTAAAGTCTTCAAGAAGAGAGAAACCAGAGACCACTGTTGGGAAAAAAAAACCCTTTGCTCCCAGCCTCCCACCCCACTGCGCTCTTTATCCACATTTTATAAAATGCGTTTTGAGACAGTCCTAATCATGTTTAGCTTCCTGCAGATAAACTGCACCCTGCATGCTCAGAGAGTTCACCAGAACAGGAGCTTTGACAGCCTTGTCTTGGATGCAGACCCACGCAGCGGTGAATGATTTCCAATAAATAAAATACAAACCAAGCAGAAAATGAATGGAGAGAGGCAGAGGGGGAGAGCCGGAGCTCTCAGTGGGAATGATTATACCTCACATCTTCTCCATCTTCAAGCATAGACAGACAGATTGTGCATTTTTCATCGGTGTCCGACTCCTCCCCGTCCTCCTTCTCAGCTTTGCCTTCCTGCGGTCTTCTCTGTGACAAGGTTAAAGACATAATTTAATTACAAAAGGAGAGCTGACAACTCTCTACTGCTCTCGAAAGCCTCCTGAGTTGGAGGAATGCGAATAATAAGCGCTTCGTTGTCAACTGAATAGACCCACCAGGTCAGGGAAGTCTGCCCAGCCAAAAACCTACAGAGGGAAGGATGCCAGGTCCTATTAATGTTCTGACTGTCAAAATGTACCGGGAGAGGAGAGGCAGAGAGAATAAATGTCAGCAGAGAAGCCAGGAAGCCATTTCCTCCCGAGTCCCGTGATTAATGTCACACTGATTATTAAGTCTCCGCAGTCTCTTGAGCATTTTGGGACCTGTAATTATGCGTGAGGGGCTGGATTCAAACCTCAGGTACAACGTGATTCCCACTGGCCTCCATAAACACCGCCTTATCTAATCCAGGCATCGTTTGTCCCTGTAGGCAACTGCATGTGTGTGCCTGAATTTCTAGGGTTGTGGGGTTTTTTTCTTGCAGACTTCATAACTGCAATCGTCTTCACAGGAGAGCTCAGAATCCCCTGGAGTGAATTGCACATGACCCTATGCTTCCCTTAAAAAATACCTTGCCACCTCCATTCTTGCTATCTCTAATGTGACAGCGCTGACAGCCCTGTGCCGGTGATGCTAGCCACTGTACAGATCTATAGAAAGAGAAAGGATGTTTAATAGAGCCCACTGTCAGCAAGGGCACAAATTGGTCCAGGAGTTTTTCCCAATGGTTTGCCTCAGCTTCTAGGTTTAGCAACGTTCCCTTTCCCGAGTGAGGGTGGCATAAACCCAGTTCAGGATTCAAAATCATATGCCCCACTGTCCCCTGGCCTCATCTCACACCAGTGTAAAGTGAGGTGACCGGATTTCATGAAAAGAAGTCGAGGAAGAGAGTTATCTTTCATGGACAGGAGAGTGCAAGCTTCCCCCTGCACTCCAGGAATGGAGTTTGGACTCACGGGAGTGGGTTTGTCCATGCTTTGCACACCACATAACTTTGTGGGTTTAACTTGTGGGTACTAACACTTGAATAAAAATGAGCGCAGTTGCAAGCACCAGGCCCTGTTTGCGTGTGCACGGGTCCTGCTGAGAGAAAGCTGCATTGGCTGAGCGGGAGAAGGTTCAGGTCCCTGGAAAAATCTGGCTTGCAGATTTGAGCCTACAAGTCAGAAAGCCACCATCAGACTGCCCTGGCCTGTTAGCTCAGGCTTGCCGCTGTGTGTTATCATCATCCAAATGAGAGGTGGCCTCTGGATTTTAAATTCCTCCCAAAATCTGGGGATGTTTGGATTTGAAGCTCTGGGCTCCAGCCTACCCTGTCACATGCACACTGTCCTATCTGACAAGGATGGCCCCATGTCTCTAGCTGCTGCACTCTCTTCCTTAGGCAGGGTGAGTCAGGACTGCTTGAGGAGCTGCCTGGAGATGCTGGCGGTCCGGCCCTCACCTTTTTGTACTTGTGTGGGAACGTGAACCTCTCGATGGTGTTCTGCACAGCTCCCCGGCTCACGCTGCCCAGTCTGTCCTCCAGCTGCAGCAGCTCCTGAAACACAAAGCACCAGCCAGTCACGCACCCACCTCGCCGACACCAACCAGCCTCTCAGACAAGAGGCAGCACCCACAAGATGAGAGATAGGGCTGTAAATCAGGGAAAAAGCCAGGGAGGGGTGGGGGCAAGGGCAGCCCTCCTAAGTTTTCATCCCAATGGCCAAGTGATTAAGGCACCTGCCTGGGAGCCCAAAGACCCAAGTGCTAGGCTGCCCTCCAACCTAAGAGGTTGGCTGTAACCACCACTGCACACAACAGGCATTAGCCAGGCCCCTCTCTAGTGCCCCTGGATTCGCACCACGGCCCGGCAGCACAACGGTGGACGTTGCAACACCAGCTGCATGAAAACACACCCGATAAGCTACAACTCCTGCCTGCTTTCTGTGGGGAGGCAGCCCTCGTCGGCCAACACCCAAAAGTCTGATCCTAAACCCGCTGGTGACATTAGACGTCTTTCCATAGACTTCAAATGGACTACAGCTCCAACTACATGTGTGTAGCACTCGGGTCTTATCCCACGTGTCCCTATTGCTCTGCTGCAGCCCAGCTGTGCTCCAGAGAAGAGCTGTAACAGTTTATATTACAACGTTTGCAGGTTCCTGGGGTTAACAACCACTGAAGTCAGAAGGTACGTACTTCATAGCTCTCCCTCACGGCAGATGTGTGCCTGTTCGGATTTAGTCCCTGAAGAGCAAGTAGCTGAAGCTGAGGATAAGGGTAGTTTCTGATTTCATGGACAACCTGTGCAGATTAGGGAAGAAAAATCATCTCAGCACCTTGAATCCTCTGACTGCCTTGACTTCAGATAAAACCTTTTTTTAAAAAGTACAGAACTTAAAGGGCAGCCTAATAACTAGCTTTTAGCCTCCAAAATGAAGATTTCTCTAAAAACAAAGAAATAATAGGACTTTAATAAGTCCTATTAATAAATATGAATCATAGTTATTTTTATTTCAATTCAATTATTTGTAATACTGTGTCTGTAGTCTCTGCAGTGTTGCCAACTCAAAGGCTTCAGACATTGCCAGACTGGCTTAAGAAATAGGAAGATTTTTTTTTTCAGAAATACATTTATGGTTCTCCTTATTTGTTCTCTGATCTTTTAAGTGTTTCTGAAACTTTTGAGTCATTTTTCAATTTCACTGCAACCAAAAAGTGTAGACAGTTGCCTTTTTTTTTAAGGAAAGCTAAGATTCTCACATGTTCACGTTCACCTGACTCCAGGACCTGAGGGCTTTAAGAAAAACACCAAAGGTTGTCATAAAACTGCCGCGGGTTAGCAATGCTTATGTGGGTCAACCCAAAATACAGTGTTCTCAGAATGGGAGCAAACCCATCGACGAAGTGACCAGGCTTTGTTCATGGACCAGGTTGACTAAAGTGCAAAAAGTTGAGAGGCAATGGTGACATTTTCAAAACTGGTCAGAGGATTGTGGACACCCAAATCTTAGTAGCATCTCAGTGGGTGCGGCTACACAAGATGTGTATTGTGCAGTTGACTAATTAACCGCAATAAATGTCTCGGTGTCTGCGTGTGTCCCTATAAGGGTGCATGAAACGAATAAATTCCACAGCAGGCTAGGACTTGCAAATACAAGGCTCACTCTGCTGCGGAGGTTTTTTGTGCACAGCAGCGCACGTGTAGACACTGACAGGACTGGCTGGGGATAGCTCAGAAGCACCCTCGTGCCCCAGCCAGCCCTGCCACTGCACCTTGAGCCTGGTTGGAGCAGCTCCAGGCTGGCAGGCTGACCCCCCTGGACCCCCTGCCAGCCAGGGCTGCTTCAACCTGGCTCAATGTGCTGCAATCTGGGTGCACATGTAAACTGCACACCCAGGAGCTTTCCCAGGAGCAATTAACTGAGGAGCAATAAGCTCTGCAGTTTATTGCTTCATGTTAATGGCTTATGGAAATGCACGCAGTTTGAGGTTTCCTCTTGAAATGACCCTACACCAATTTAGTGTTGGGCCTCTCCCTTACAATTGCAAAAATCAGAACACACCCAAAGGCAAACACTCTTTTTTTTTTAAATGCAAAATTTTGGAGGGAAAGGTCTGAAATAATTATATTTGACCTCAGGGGAAACTGTGTCAATAGTGAAGAGTGAGTTGGGATTTTTTTTTTCTTTGAGTTTTAACGTTCTGCAGTGATGCTTTGTGAAACCCACAGTTTACTCAGGTGCCCATTTAAATGAAAACAGGAAGAGGCTGTCAAGGATCCTTTTGAATGAAAAGGGGGTCAATGGACCTGTTTTTTATGTATGAGAAGTCCTATTTACGGTACCCCTGGCCCTATAAATTGGTTAAATTACATTTAAATCCCCTGTAAGACTCTTTTACAGCATGCAAGTAGTGGAAATACGAATAAAGATCAGTGACTCGAAGTGTGCTCTCAGTTAAAACAGGGGGGGATCTACAGTAACAACATCCACTTCAGTGGAGTTAACCTGGATTGACATTCGTTCACCTGAGAGCTGAATTTGCTTCAATGCCTAATAGCATGTGCCAGATCTTCCCCATTCTGTCTTGAACGTGTAGGCCAGCTTATCAGCTGGTGTAAAGTGATGTAGCTCCATTAGAGATAACAGACCAAACCCATCTTCAGCTAGTACACATCCTTCCTTGTAACTTTTCCTACCCCATGAGTATAACAATGCAACATTATCTTTTCAGACAGACTCCCTCCCACGGACAGAGATAAGTAGGACTCTTGGAAGACAGGTGATGGAAAGATAGCAGCCTTTATTTTGGTTTCCTTCTAGTAGACAATGCATAAAACATTTCCCAGCAAAAGCATTTCACTCACCATCTGCGTTGAGGATGTGTTCCTAGGGAAATGGTGCATTCTAGGTGTAGCTAAGTAATGCTGATAGGGCTGAGGAACTGTCCTAACCTGGAACTGGGCATGAGTCAGGCCAGCATCAACACTGAGATCCCTGCAAGCACAAGAACAGGCATATAACAATAATCTCATCTTTTTGCAATGCATCCCTTTATTTCCCCTCTACCGTTCCATTCATAATCCATACCACACTCAAGAAGCAAAAGGGCACAGCGCATTGGCTCCAATTTTCAGCTACACCGATTCAAATCCAGCTTAACGCCATTGATTCGGTTACTTCTGATTTACGTTAGTGCAGCAGGGCTTACAGAGATCAAGGGGGCCCGGATTTGCCCTCTGCACTCTCCTCGCCAACATATAAGAGCTCTGATCTGCTTTTGTTTTGCTAAATAAATGCACCGTTCTTTGCTGGGTAGCACAAACCTGAGTTCGACTGGCTTCATAACTGGATGAGCGACAAATCTGTAGCTCTGCTAAGACTGAACCAGCTGGGTTAGAGCAGGGCAGCGTCTATCCTTACTTATGTCAGTGTAAATGTGGAGTAACTCCACTGGTTACCTCCAGCAGCAGGAGGCTGGACTCTGTGAGCCAGGCGCTCTCTTTCAGCCCTGTGCTCCTATTAATTAGATCACAAAAACCCCACAAAAAAAGAAATTTGGACCCACATATTCCTGCCTAGAACCCCTCTAATCGAACAGATGCCTTTCTGTCTTCCAGAAAGACATCTAAGTCTTGATCTGAAGACTCCAGAGATGCAGAATCCACCGCCGCTCTCAAAAGAGGAGCCTGCAACTTACTGCATTGCATTTCTGATGCATCTGCCCAGCAGAAATTAATTATCGTTCTGTACCACATCCCCTCTGCACTGACGCGGGCACAAGCCAGTGAGCTGCAACATGCTGGCAAGCCCCATCCCCATGGGTCTGTGTTGGAGGGAGGAGAACGAGGACAGTATCTCCATCTATAATCCAATTTACCGATCCCCTGTCTCTCCAGAGAGAGAAATCTCTTCGCAAATAAATGCTGAATGCCGTTCGTTTCCCCCTAATTACAAAAGCAGGCGCTTTAATAAACATTGTCTTAGCATTTACCAAAGCAAAGCTCATTAGAAGAGAGAAATTGCCATTCATTTCATCTTCAGAACTTCTTTCCCCTGAAGCAGAGGAAGGCAGCAGCCAGCGCTGCGACTTGTTATGAACCGTCAAACATTTCTCCAAGTGGCTCTTGCTCAGCAGTGGGTGACAGACACGAGGAGACGATAGCTGTGGAAGTACCTGGCAGCACGGGGCCCCAAGCAGCGTGGGCATTGGAGCACATCAACCCCTTCTCTAGCCTAGACCTCACCTCCCTCGGTTGTCTGAGGCCTCCTGTTATATGTGAGCTCCTATGGAGAAGGGGCCAAAAACAGGCCAGGTAGAAAGCTATAAAGAGGTAAGGGGGGCCAGGGAGGGGGCTTCCAGCTGAGAAGAGATTTGAAAGCCATTGCATAATACTGTGTATGAAAAGAAGACAACTATGAGCTAAAGAGTAGCTGTATGGGCCGGTGGATCGGGCCCTGCGGTGGGACTCAAGAGACCTGGTTTCTATTCCTTGCTCTATCCCTGAACTATTGTGTGGCCTTGGGGCAAGTCACTTCAGCTCAGCTTTGCCTCCCGGTCTTAAGGTGCTCTGGGAACACATCTACATGACAGCAACATCTGTGCCCAACATGTGGACAACCAGGGATGTACGAGACAGCTTTTGCTTCCAGAGTTTATTACAAAGTGAATCCCTGCTCCTCCAAAGGCACTGGTCCAAGAAGACCCTTCTTGACCAAAGCTGCCAGAACTGAAGCCAGCCTTCAGGAGCAGGGGCTGCTTGCATGGGTGTCCTACCAGGCTCAAGACCCGTACAGAGCCATTACGCCATGCTTCTGGGTCATCCCTCTTTCTCTCCAGCTTCAGGTCATCCCTATTCTCTTCTCTACTGGGTCCCGGTCTCCCACCCTGGGCTCCTCATCCTAGCTTAGTTCACAGACCCCTTGGGGCTGAGTTTTCCAACAGCACCTGTGGCTGTAGGCACCACTGACAAGAAGGGCTCAGGACCGTGTCTGAGAAGTCATTTCTTCTGAAAATTACAGTGAAAAATATCAAACATTGGTCACCACCGCTAAGCAGCAAAACCCAAACTTAAGCAAAGACAGGAGTGGCCTCGTTTTACAAAGTGCTGAGCACCCACAGCTCCCTTGGGGTTGATGGAAACTCAGGGTGCTTTCACCTCTGAGCCAGGTACTGAAATATGCCCACCTGGTTCGAAATGTTGGGCATAGCGTCCACCCCTTTGTAGCATCTCGCCCTCCCCCAGCACAGACAGTGGTGACATGGAAGTCGCTGGGACTTCATCACAAGGGCTGAAAGGCAGGAGGAGTTTCTGGAGTTGGGGGAAGCAACCCAAGTATGGGATCCTTTAAAAGATCGTTTCTCTTCCTCTAAAAGCCTAGACTCACCTTGACAGCTCATTGTCACCACTGGGTTACATAAGGGACAGCAAACAAATGGCTTCATGACAGGACTATACAGAAATGCCCAAACTTTCCCCTGCCCCAGCCACTTATTATTATCATTTAAATTAGAGTAGGGCCTTGAGGCATCTGTCACTGTGCCAGGTGCTGTACCCCTAACTCTCTCCTCAAGACATCAAGGACTAGAAGGGTAGACGATGGCAGGGAGACGGAGGTACGCAGAGATGGAGTTGCTTATCTGAGGATGCCCAGCAGGTCACGGGCAGAGCCAGAACCGAGCCCAGGGTGCTGGCCCCTAGTCTGGCATCTCTGCCACTGGGGCAGACATCCTCCTGCATGAACATTATACACCTTTGCAAGACATGCTCAGTGCAGGGCTTGGCAACCTATGGCCCATGGGCTGGATCCAGCCTGTGAAGATGCTGGCTCTATCCCGCAGAGGTCTCATCTGGCTGGAGGTAGCATCGAGCGGTGTCATAAAGCTCTGCTTGTACCATCCATTTCCTCTGCAGAGCCCCCACTCTGCAGGCTGATCTCTCATGCCTGCACTTACCCTCACCACAGAGTTTGCCACCACTCATTTGCTTTTCAGGACAGGGATTGGGGTCCACAGCAGAGGTCTGCAGCCTGTGCATGGGCCAGGTTGGATACGGCAGCTTGTGACAGCAACAAGTTATGAACTCCTTGCTAGCAGGTAGCAACAAACTGGGAAGCAGAGGATCTGGGTTCTAGTCCCAATTCTGGCAATGACTTTTTAAGTGGCTTTTAGCATGTAAATTCCTTTCTTTGCAACACCCTTTTTTTTTGGAAAGAGCTTTGAGACCTATGGATGAAACCTACTATGAAAGAATAAGGCATCGGCCTTTATTTCTAACCTTGTGGTGCCAAATTAACTATGAAACTAACTTGGAAAATAAAATTTAAGGAAAAATAATCAGGTCCTTTAGATCCGCACAAGGTCCCTAGTCAGCAGATTGTATTGGCTAATGTTCCTCCAGGTGTTTGGGAATTAATACATCTGACCAACCAGCTGGGGAAGTCAAAGCAAATAATATTCTAGCATTACATGTTTAAAAAAAAACAACCCAAAAAACAAGCATTGGTACAGAGCACTGATGTACGGACATTATGAATTCAGATCTTACTGTTTTGCCTTCAGGGGGTATCTCACTTAGAAATAATAACTGAAGGATTAGAGCCAAGATAACAGGTGAGATTGTATTCGCTTAATGCATGTTCAGAATTTTATATCAGGAAACAAAGGGAGTTTCTCTCATTTGGTTTAAGCACCAAAACATTTTAATAAAGGCTTGGTGGTTTAAGAGATCTGAGTTCTTGCCGCCCTTCCCACCGTCCCCGTCTCATGTAAGAAAGTGCTCCGTTACCTTTGAGCAAGTGCAAATCTACGCTGATGTATTAATACATTAGAGAAATGTTTTTACATCTGTCGCTGGGGTGGAATAGTACAAGCACCCTGAGGGGAAATGAGTCACCAAGATGTACATACAGTATATGATTTCCTGCCATCCACTCCCTCGGTTTTTATAAGGCCATTGTACAGCCAAGGGAAAAATAGGAAGAGGGGAAGTGGTGCTTTGTGAGATACTACTAATAATGATCCTAATTAACATTGCTCACACACACGTGCACATGCACGTGCATGCATGCACACACACACTCATACACACACACACACACATACACACACACACACTCCTTTCCAGATAGAAGTCAAAGCACTTTCCTAACCCGTATAAGCCACGCTGCATGGGCTGCATTCTGGTCCCCCTGGCATCTGCAGAAATGCTTGAGTAGAAACAGGAAGGATCTGGCCCTATTTTTTATTACATATAATTACCCATGAAACAGCTATGTTAAAAAAGCATTCACAGTTTGCAAAGCAAAGCACTCAGAAGTTCCCAAACGCCATAATTAAGGTTGCCTGTGCAAGTTTAATTTGACCCCCCTTGTGCGTAAGCATTATGATCATCTTTCGTGACATGATCGCATGCTATTTTTTTCCCCACAGGAGCCCCTGCCTTGTTCACCAGACAGAATGAATGGTGATAATTAATAAGCAGCTAGTCAAAATTTGGGTTTTCCTCAGAACGTGCCCTTGTGCCTTATTTTCTTATTATTCAAACCTTCCTCTGAAGAAGGAATTATTCGGGGGGGGGGGGTGCTTTTCTAGGGTGGTTTTGTCCGGTTTAATTTTCTTCCGCAGAAACACAAGGAAAGGTTGGAAGGACGGGGATTATTTGACCTGAAGAAGAGACGACTGAGAGGAATTTGATAACAGTCTTCCAATAAAGGATTGTTACAAAGCGGACGGTGGTAGACTGCTCTCTGTGGCTGCAGGGGGCAGGACAAGAAGTAACAGGCTTAAATTGCAATAAGGGAAATTTAGGCTGGATATTAGGAAGAAGTTTCTAACTCTGTGGGTGGTTAGGCTCTGGAAGAGATCACCTAGAGAGGCTGTGAAATCTCCACCACTGGAAGTTTGTAAGAGCCGGTTAGACAAACCATTGCTTGCGAGAGTTAACACAGGGCTGATTCTGCTTCCAGCAGAAGGCTAGGCTACATGACCTCCTGAGGTCCCTTCCAGCCCCGTTTCTCAATGGTTTCATAGGGCTAACACTACAGTATCTGAGCGCTTGATAAATATTAATGAATCTCCATAGCACTCTGTGAGGTGTGGGGGTATTATCATCCCAAAGTTATTTATTGAGTCCTGAGGCATAGATACATTAAGGTCAAATGTCTTCATTTTGGGGGTCCAGTTGGAGACACTGAGCTCCTGACTTTCCAGGACGGCTATGCATCACATAGCAGTATATATGTTCCAGCACTACTCCCCTCGACTTGGGTCATGGCTTGGGCTCCCTACACTTCAAGTCAAACTCTTGGATCTCATGTGAAGCACCAGGAAATGAAGACCACAAATGAGTGGCCATTTGCATTGAGTTGTTCAACATCACACAGGAGCTGTGTGTCAGAGGCAGGGATAGAAACCAGTTTTGCAGGGCAGCACTCAACTGCCTTAGCACTGAGATCACCCCTTGTCTTCTTGCAAGTCCCTGCCTCATTCGCTCCACACTTCCCCCTTCTGCAAGAGGCTACACCCTCCTTCACTTCACAGCCGCCGCTCTCTCCCGGAGCGGGTCCACCTGCGTGTGCACTGAAGGAGGCAGGGGTCCTGTGGAGAAATCTCGTGCAACTAAGGTGATCCCACAAAGCTTATCCCCAGTGGGAACAAAATTAAAATCACATGGAAGTCAGGCAGCATTGCCTAACGTCCGAGGGACTGTGCAACTTTAACAAGAGGTTTTTAATGCCATTTTTTGTGTGTGCAACTTTTTAGGTTTTTTTAAAAACAAGGATCAAGAATTGGAAATTCTATCATGCGTCTTTATTGTGACATTCACATGGGTACCTTCAGGTCTGCCACACAGACCCGTGTCCCTTGAGCTAACAGAGTAGCTGGCAGCAGCAGTAGGTTGTTACGCTGTGTGGACCAGCACTGGGGGTAGGAGACACACACTGTCTTCAAAAGGAGGCTAGGTAATCACCTTGCCGGGGCTGTTTGATCCCAGCCCTCTTTCCTGCCCGTGGCAGGGGGTCGGACTTGATGATCTGCTCAGGTCCCTTCTGATCCTACCAACTATGAAACTATGAAACTGTGCCAGTGGGCTGACCAGGTAGGTGGTGATGGGAGGGAATGGTGACTTTCTGCCATCTTGGTGCCAGTCCAGGTCCTGGAAGGGGAGGATGCGCTAATAGGCCCTGGCCCTTCTGCTTGCCCCGTCCCCCAAGCTCGAATCTTTCTGCCCCATGCCCTCCCTCTGTGCAACTCTCCTGTCTCTACCCTCTACCTAACTCCTCATTCCCGTCCTGTTTGTCCATCCAGTTTCCCCAGTCCCAGCTATTCATCTAATTGGTCCCTCCACACTCCTGCTGGCTGTCACTCCTACTCTCGTGCCAACCGGCAGGCTCTTCTCCCAGCCCCTGGCCCCAGTTTCCTTCCCCCACTAGTCGTAGTTCCCCGCTCCTGGCTCTTCATCTGATCTGGCTCTCCCTCTCCAGCCTTGGGTGGGTCATCCCTATTCTCTTCTCTACTGGGTCCCAGTCTCCCTCCCTGGGCTCCTCATCCTAGCTTAGTTCACAGACACACACACACACCCTTCTACAAAACCTTGTTTCAGCCTCTTTGTCCAACCCCTGTCTGTCCTCCCCCCATCTCAGTCCCTGGCTCAATTTGCTCCCTTACTGCTATTGACCCCATTTTTCTCCTCTCTGTAAAGCTGAGATTGCAAGACAGGGCAGGCAAGTGGCCAGGACGTGGAGCAGTAGGGCCCTCCAGACAGCAAGGACAGCTCAGAGCAGGCTCCAGCCAGCTCCAGTTCTGATTCAGAGAGCTGTCACTGCTCAGCGGCAGTCTGCAGCGCTCAAACCAGCTGTCTGCAGCCCAGGATCTGATCCGCTAAATTCAGCTCAGACTGACAGGGGAGGTAAACAGGGAGAAGGCAATCACTAGGCCTAGTGTGGTGCTAGGATGCTGAGCCTGCCCTTCTCCTTGCTATACAAGTGGCGTTATGCTGCGAGCAGTGCTGTGGGGATTGGCGGTGCTCATTTCTCACTGTCATACCTGGGCACCGCAATCTTGAATAGCCACAGTCGTCTTTAGCTGGGGTTGTATGCCTCAGTCCAAGCAAAACGAAAGACTTACCAGTCTGTGCCTTCAGCTAAGTACCTGGGCTGCGGCCCCATGGGTTGAGGAGTTTGCAGTTGGTGGCCAAAGTCAAAGCCTGGGTGTAACCGATGAGGTTGAACAGACATGCGCTCCTGAGTCCGCCTGCGGGGGGGAAAAGCAGAGCAGGGGTGGTGAGAGACAAGGCGGCTGAGCCTGGGTGCCGGCAGCTGGGAAAGGGAAACTTGTGCTGGGCTAAGCACTGGGCAGATGGCCATCAACGACTCCCACAGGAGGGATGAACAGCTCTCTACTTCCTGCAACTAAGAAGTGGGGGGAAGATATCGCTGTCCAACAAAGTGTTATCTGTATAGTTTCTATATAACATCCTAAGCCCATAATACTAAATAAGGTGAAAAAACAGCAGCTAGAGAAATGGCCAGTTTTAGGAACTGACAGTCAACAGAGGCAAGGCCTACAGAGGATGGGATGGAGGGGAAGCAGGAGCACAGAGTGGTGATGTGATGTGCCCAAGGTCAACGAGAAGGTCAGCAGCAGACCCAGGAAAATGTCTGAGCCCATGTCTAGAGATGCTCCCAACACCCTCAGAAGTATATAAATAGCTATCTAAGTGCCATACTGGGTCAGACCATCTAGTCCAGTATCCTGCCCCCAGAAGGACAAAACTGGATGCTTTAGATGGAGAACACTAACCAGGGTCTATCTCGAGTGTCCCCTCCCATGTTTGTTAGCCTCCCTGACATCCACCGTCATCGGTTTAGAGGTGCCAGAAGATACATCCCTGACTGCTCCATTGACTCTTCTGCCTATTCTGGTCTAAGAAACGTATTTTCTTCTTATCAGCATCATAAATTCAGCCAGAGGTCTGCAAGTCAACACACGCACACTCTGACTTGGGCATCAGCCGTCATAACAAAGAAGCACTGACCAAAACTGCCTACATCTCAGTAACCTAGGTGTCTCCAAGTTCAGTTTATTAACATTTGGGGAGCCCCATTTGGGCATAACTGAAGAGCTTGTGGTCCTGGCTGGGGACCTTAGCCAACAGTTCTCCTGACAAAAGACAGGCTAGAGTAGATCCAGCCTGCTCTCCCATGGCTCTGCAAAGACAAAGACAATACAACTTAGAGAAAGAAAAAGCAGCAAAAACTCCTTTGAGCCCCTAAGAACTGGTCTATGCACAGTTTTCACTCCAATTAAATGACCTCAGTTTCTAACCAAAATAGTTACAGATTTCCTAAAACCAGATGGGAGCAAGGCCTCGAGTATCTAGCGTAGCTCTGCATATGCCAGAGGTTGTTATATACACATCTAATGTCTTGGCATCAGTGCATTAATGCACACAGGGGATCAAACATTATGAACAATTGCACAAAGACACTGGGGAAAATAGTGGCCAAATCCTCAGCTCTCTGCACAGTCCTTATTTAACCAAACTCCCACTTACTGATGTTCTGGGGCAGAGATTCAGGAGCAAACAGAGCAAAGCTGCTATAGAAACAGGAGCTGTACTTCACCAGTCCTCAACTGGTACAGCTATTTTCAGAAAGAATATGCTGGACTAGCGAAGAAGGTCTTCACCTTTTCCATAGCAGGACCCTCCTCCTCATACCAGTTCTCCCCCATGGATAGCTGCCACTATAGGTGGGCTCTCTCATTATCAATGAGAATGATCTAATTCAGCATCACAATTGCTATGTAGAACCACAGCCAAAGGTCTCAGCTGAGTGCAATAAGGAATGAATACGCGACACCATTAGCTCATCCCCAAATGTTGTTGCAAGTCAATTATTAACAACTAAAAAATAAAACAAGCATGAGAAAGATGCATGACTTAAAGGCACAAAGCGTATGAATCTTCACTCCACGGCACGGCAGCACTGCAAAGTTTCATACATTTACTTCCGACCCATTAGTGTAATCCACAACTTGATTCCCGAGTGTTTTCAATCCACACTCTCCATCCTTTGCTTTATATAAACCACTCGCTCAAGAAATTCAATCCGAGTCAAATTAGACATTCATTTCCACCTCTACTACGTTAAAATAATTCTCTTTGCGGGCAATCTCTTCTGAATCCAGGTTGTCTCCTTTGATTGGATGTTCAGCAAATCAACAGCCTCATTTATTCTACATACAGTTGGATTACAGCCATAAATCTCTAGCTGGAAGAGGGATCATTTGCCTTTCCACAATCTGTACATACTACTGAACGGTCCCCGAATATGTAGATGAAGAGTTACATATGGCTTTGAAACCTCGAGGAGAAACGTGTAGGTCTAGTGTATCATTTTCTCTGTAGTTCAGCACAGATTATCTACAATTTTAAAATGGTGCAGTATGGATTTTCCTGTCTTTTACAGTGGTAACTCCATGTGACTCTAGATTTACTCTGGCGTGACACAAGAAGCAGTCTTGGTACTTTTAAATTCATGTTTATAATTAAAAAGCCAAATATTTTCCCCAGTGTCTTTGTGCAATTGTTCACAATTCTAATCTCCCGTATGCATTAATGCATTGATGCAAAAGCACTATACACATTAGATGTGCATAAAATGAATTATTTGAATAAACCTGTGTTTTCTGAGCACGGTGGGCACATCAATCAGGTGTTTTCAATTGGCAAATGTTTCAGATGTATTAAAAAATGTACATACCACTACAGTTCAGGTCCAGCTCAACCTGTACGTAAATTAGTGGCTTATTTTAAAGCAGCTAAGCATCCACCGCTCCTCCTGTATGGAGGTCCTTATACTATTACTGTACTGATGTGTATACCACATGAACATCTCTCCCAAAAATTCACCATCCAAAATCAGTGTGTCCTAAGTGAAGCTGATTTCTGCACTGGAACAGAAGCATGGAGATGCTGGGGAATGGCTGCTTGGGGCTGGACTGGTTTCTGTGATGTATAGAGGAAGGGCAGAGTCCACCCTCCAGTGTCACTGCCCTCCACTTGCTGCTGAGCCAAAAGCTGCTGCCAATTTGGCAGCGGCAGTAACAGGATTAAACCTCTAGCAACAGGATGGCAAGTGATGCTGGAAAATAGACTCTGCCCCTGTTATGTGCAGCCAGCATTTAGCCATGGCTCTAAAAACAATTTGGTTTTCTTCATGCTGCTTTCCCAGAACAAGGTGTGTGTCCTATATGGGGTCCTGTGGTGTTCGAGACATTATGGTAATCCCCACAAATTAGCAAAGTTAACAATCTGGCCTGTGGATTCTCTACCTGTTGATGATCCCTTTGGTGCCAGGCTGAAGCTGTGGCATTGACAGCTAGAATAAAAGATTATGCCATTGGCAGCAAGTGAGAGAACAATGTGATGCTCCTTACTACTCCACGATACTACTTACACTAAGCCACTTCCCAGAATTTAAGATGATAGGAAATTCCTTCCATCCTGACCCTAGAAATCTTTGGGACTCGAGCCCCTGGAAAAATCAGGCCCCGGGCACCTATCTCTTGAAGCAGGTCAGAAGTGGGTAGAATGCCATATAGCATCCCTCTGGACTCATAACATTTAATGGCCACTGTTTTATTACAGATCATGACCCAGACACCGTGCCAAATTCAGCCCCGAGCAAGTTGTTAGTGGCACTGGGAGTCACACGCCAGCCCCAGCACTGAGTTTCTCTCGTGTGGCACGGAAGAAGAGAAGATGCCCTCGCGAGCTGTTTGCTATCTGGCATGGGTTAACTTATTGTTCCTCTGCTTCTTGCAGAATAGCTCACCTGGGATGAGGCATAAGCCTACGGTGCTGGGCCTCGAGGAGCTGCTGCTGGAGGAGGTATTGCTGGTGTAGCGCCTGAGGTAGGAAGGAGGGTCCTGTCACATCCTGAAACGGCAGGGCTGGCATAGGTGGCAGGGGCTGGTGCAGCGAGCCATTATGCTGGTGAGCTGTCGCCATGTGAGGGTTCAGCCCTGGCTGTGGCTGGACAGGGTGAGGGAGAGGGAAGTCAGCTGAGATCTGAGGTTGGGGGCCCAGATGGAAGTGCCGGCAGGAGGTAGCATGAGGATGCTGAGACCTTTGAAAGGGAGCACCTGGAAGAGAAGACCATCAAGCCTGTCATGGAGCCACAGAGATACAGTTGTAAGGTAACACATATAACCATAAAGCCTTCTTCTAAAATACCCAGTGCTTGTCAGGATTTTTCCCATAAAAAGTATTTTTTTTCCCCCCAAAAACCAAAAAGACCTAACACATGCAAACCATTTCACTGAAAGCCTGTTGTGGTGGATTTCCCGACTGAAAAAAACTCTAAATCTGGATGAAGCTTTGAAATTGTTTAAAAAGGGTTGAAACTAAATGTTTTTTATGGTTTACAATGACTTTGGATTTCAAAATGTTTACCAAGGCAGAAGTTCAAAAAGTCAAAACTGAAATGACATCTTTCTAAATTCTAACCGTGAAATGTTTCAATTGAGTCAAATGAGTGATCTCCGTTTGCACTGAGTGTCAAGATTTTGACTTTTCTAGCAGATATAGAATGGGAATTTGGGGGGGGCGGAATTTCAAGTATTCTAACAGACCAAAAAACCATCATTTTCCTCCCAACTCCTAATAGTAGCTCAAACAGAACAATCCCCTGTTGACTAAAGGAAAGAGTAGATGGCCCAGGAGGCATCTTCCATCTGTAACATCAATGATGAAAATCACCTGGAAGCATGACTGGATTTCCAAGCTTGTCTCCACAGAAGCTGGCCTTTGAACGATAAGTGGACCAAATGGATAGCTTCATTAAATGGGATGTGTAACAATAAAGGAATATACTGTATTGTTTCAACTATAAGCTGACCTGGCATAGGTTGACCCTGTATTTTAAGGTTCAATTTTTTTGAAAACCAGCTTTGCCCCTGAATATAAGTAGTATGCTAAAGATAAAATACCTTGAATTGCTCTTGCCCTTACAAAATCCCACAGGAGAATCGAATGATCACGGAAAGGACCCAAAGGGTTAAAAACACTCAAAATACCACAACAGTACTGAGGAAGCTTGGAGAAAGGCTGTTATATGAGTGCAATGTCTTAAAGCATTCAATGAAACCAGTGAACACTCCTGTTCTGCTGTCCTCACGTAGTGAATTAAAAGGCCCTCATCCAAGTTACTTACATTTAGTCTGTAACATAATGCAAGACTGTGGGTATATGAAATACTCTTGTAAGTTCATTAGGATAAATTTTTCAACAGAGAAGAAAGTCAGCACAGAAGAAAGCAGAAAATGGAGATTCTCTTATATTTTAAAGTAACCCCTTGTTCAGCCCTAGTGAAGGCCCATGTAGGCTCTTGGTAACATTTGTAAGACCAGTGGTGGCCTTAAAAAAGGGCAAACGAGGTGACTGCCCAGGGTCCCACACTTTAGGGGGCTCCAACATTTTGCAATAAATGTCCGACTTGCTTATAGGCCATCAAAATTAAGCCTCCAAAGGGCCCCAAATGATTCTTTTGCCCAGGGCCCCAACAAGCCCAAGGCCACCACTGGTATGACCTTTCCTTACCTAAGAAATGGCTCTGTCAATAACACCTTGATATCCCCCCATTCCTTACCTAAGAAATGGCTCTGTCAATAACGCCTTGATATCCCCCCCCCCCTCTCTCCCCCACCACTGGGGGTGCTAGTCATAAACCAGGGGATGGTCCGATAGTTGGGGTATTATGCCATGGGTGACTGGTGCTTCCTGAGTCGGGGCGGGGAGCCAGATCGCCAATGGCGGGGGAGGGGGGGGAGGGGATGGTCCCCCAGTGGCCAATCGCTGACTGGGAGAGGGGGTCCGCCAGCGGAAAATCACCAACCAGGGGAATTGCCCAGCAGCTGATCACCAAGCCAGTGGTGAAACTGGAAGTGCACTTCCAGTTTCGCAACTGGTGCTTCCAGGGGGTGCACGTCCGATCGCAGGGGGTGCACGTGCACCAGCGTGCATGCCCTATGCATTGCAATGGGGGTGAAGTTCCTGACTCTGCCACATTCCTTCTATGTGATGTCAAGGAAATGACTTGGTATTTTTGCACCTCAGTTCTCCTTCAGTAAACAAGAATTATAGCAGTTCCCCACTTTATGGGTGAGGACAGATGCATTAGACTGCAAGTTGCTCAGACACCATAGTGATAAAGGCTATAAATGCAGTCAATTAAAATTTGCACTTTCTCTAGTGCTTTCCCTCAGATCATCTCCCATATTAATTAGTTTGGCCTCACAACTCTCCTGTAAAGTGGATGGGAGTTGCTGGCTTTCATAATCTTATTACAAATCTCATGAGATTTGGTGACTTTCTTCCAGCCTCAAGTAATTGTATGAAATGCTCAGCTCTCTGTTCACAAAAAGGGCAAGGTCCTAGACCTCACAGTTGTATAGAAAAATTCAAGACTCAATTGCTCCCTAAAGACTTGGAAACAGAGAAAAAAAGCTCCTCCCAAAATTATCATTTAACACCCTTCATTATTTTATACCAATACCATGATTTGGGGAGGAGGGTCTGGCTCATGATTCTTCTAAATGATGGGGATGATAATACCACATCAGACTCACTTTATAGATAGGGAAAATAAAGGTACAGAAGCATTGAAGAGACCAGGGAGCCAGGGAGATAATGGCAAAGGCATAATTAGGATCCAGACTGGAAGACGGGACTGGAGGGAATCTCAAGGGTTGCAGAGTCCAGTCTCCTGCTATTACCAACGCCCACGTTGGGTAATCACTTTCATAAAATAATCAAGCTCCATCTTCAATCGAGCTGGGCTGTTTGCCGTCAGTGCTGCTAATGGATGGCTGTTCCAGAAATAATGAATCGACAACCCTCGGGCAAAGAGAGCCATGAAGAATGAAAGGTTTTCAGGGCGGCGAGCACTTCACAACCATTCTTTACAACTGACAGCTCGAACCGTTCTTGCACACTAGGGAAGATTTCACAGGACCTTGCCAGGGTGCAGTGCATTGCACACATGGCCTCAGACCCCCCCACCTGCTGCCATGTATCCCAAGCAGGGGGCTTTCTTTCTATGCTCAGGAAAGTACAGAGCAACTTCTAGGGTCCCTTGGGATATAGGGTGGGGGTGCAGATGCCCCCCCTGCTACCCCAGGGAAGAGAAATCCTAGAATTGCTTCAGGAACTTCCTCTGGGATGGTGCATCTCCACACCCGTTCAACATGGACCCATGCAAAAAAAAAAAGCATCACTGAGCATTGTATACAGGTCATTTCTCACTACAAATTATCAGCATATCAGTCTACCACAAGCTAGCCATATATCTTGCATGCAGCCTAAGTGCATAAAACAGTGACTTTCCCATAGGCATTTAAATAAACAGGCACTTCCTTATCTCTTGAAATCCATTAACAGCCCCTGCAGGGCTAACCTATCATTTCACAACTCCTCGGGATTGGTCTCAGGTAATCCACTCCAGATACTACCAAGTCTGGAGACTGACAATACTCCAGATCTTCTGCACAGCAGACCAGGGGAGGTTGCTTTCAAAGTCCGTGTCCTTTACAATTAAAGCCCTGAGAAATTTTGTCACCAAATATTAAACAAAAACTGCATCTTCAGTAAGGTAAAAACTATTTGTGAATTCAGTTCAAATTCAGTAAATCATTTTGTACAAATATCAATAAAAATAAGGAAAAGATTTTGAGAGCCTACACATTTTTATTTTGACTTTAAAAAATCTTTTTTTTTTAAATGGCATGTTTCTTCCAAAAACCTGACCGTTTTTTTTTTTTTAGAAAAGATTTGGGTTTTTTAAAAGAAAGTTTAAAACTGTCAATGAAATGAAATGTTTAATTTTAGGGCAAATTAAATGTTTAGGGTAGACTCAAAATAATTCTTTGGTTTTTCCTATTCCACTGGAAAAAAAACATAAAATTGAAGGGGGAAAAAAGTGTTTAAGTGAATTCAAAGTATTTTTTTTTCATTTGCTTGTTGGACCGTCGAACTAAAACATTATTCACGCTGCTTTAACGATGTGCTTAACTGTGCAATGGACTACATAAAGCATAATCACAGTATCACCAGACAATGCTCACAATGAAACCAAACACTGCAGGAAACCTGATCTGAGTCAACCTTTTCTTGTAAATTCAAATCTCAGATCGGGTTTGCTAAAGGTTGGGAACCTCAGAGAAAGCTGGGTCTCACCCGGAGTGAACGTGAACCAACGTTATGTTCTTGTACAAGAAGTTTACTGCAAATGATTTATGGTACTAAGTGTCAATAGTGAACATGGAGCTTTGCAAACCTATGCCACGGCACGAGCCTTGCCACCTAGTTCATGGTAAAGTTAAGCCACATCCAGTTTTTTCCCCAAAGCAGACGTGCATATCCATGGCTTTATTTTATGTATTTGTTTGGGCAGGGACGAGGGGGTTCACTGAACTCAAACACAAAGCACTTCAAATGTGCCTGTTCCCCAGGGTGCAACTAAAAGTCAGGAGCAGGGGAGAGAAGTCAACCAGCAAATGCATTTGAGATCTGTGGTTCAAAATGATTTTTGCATTAAAAATCAAGCCAAGCCCAGTAGTTTTGAATGAAGAGGAAGAGTTGCAAACACCGCTGGATCAAAACCAAAAGAAAAGATTGAACACACACCCGTGTAGCCAAGCGCCCTCATTGTGAACAACTTAAACCCTGCTCTAGTAAGCAAGCCTATCTGAGCATGGTTTTGGTGTCTGGAACAAAATTGGAACCTGATTGATTTTGCAGGGTCAGGGTTGGAGAAATTGCAGAAATGTTGGGTGTCTCTGGTGTACAACAGATTACAATGCTTTTCCACTTACGATTAAGAAAAGCTCAGACAGGAGGGGGCAAATCCCTGCCAGCTGCATTTGGGAACATTCATTGAAATAAAAGCTACAAGCTTGTTTAGCTATAATTCATCATCCTTTTTTGTTCATTTCCTTTGAGTAATTGAGGGGAAAAGCAGAAGCATTGGGAAATCCTTCAGTAGGTCTATGTAGGAGCAGCCTTCCAACCAGAAAGAGAAACAAGAGCAAGTAATATAACTACCACGACACACCACAGTGAGTGCCACGCTGACATAAATCTGTTCATAGAAAGGATCATTGAGCAAACAGAGACAAAAAGAAAAGACAGTTAAATTCACCCGCTCCGTTCTTTGTCATCAATAGCTTAGCCAGCTCTGCTCACCATCCTTGACTAACTAGGAGCTTCATTGAGGTGCCTCAACTTTAGGCCCAAATTTTGATCTTGTCTATACTAGTGTAAATCCAGAGCAACTCTGCTGACATCGCTGGAAGAGAATTATTCCAGCTTTATCCTGAAGTGCCAGAGATCAAAATCTGGACCTAAGGCAACAGTCCCTTAACTGAGCTCAAAGGTCGATCTCAAGAGTGAAGTGCATGGGAGCACATCCTATAATATTTAATTAAGGAACAATTATTTGTCCTTTTCCGCAGCCCCAGATCAGATGTGCACTGTAACCTAAAATCACTGCCCACAAGGCACTGGGGGAAGTGAGAGCTCGATTCACGTCTTTTCTGCAGCCTTTTGTTTCCACAGCACTACTTGGCACCACAGAGAAAAATCCAGAAGCAGGAGCAAGCCGGAGACATCGCACCGCCTCTCGTTTGTGCTCCCCATAATGACAGCAGGATGGACACTTCCACCCTGCAGAGCAGCTCTTGACTCTGTAGGACATTTTGACAGCAAAGATTATTGTGCTGG